AGTATATATGTTGTACAGTATAGGACTCAAAACAGATCCTTGCGGAAGACCTTTATTTATTGTCCTCTGTAAAGAATATTCATCATTTATAACATTAATAGTTCTATTGTTTAAATAATGAAGTTAGATAATAATGGTGGAACCTTTAAACAATCTAATTTTGATTTTAAAATTGGAAAATGAACATTATCATATGCCGGCCGAACTGATGTCTAAAAAGGCAGCTAAAATAGAATTACCGATCGAAAAAGCTAATCTTATATCTGTTGTAAATATAGAGAGACAGTCCATGGTGCTTCTATCTTTTCGAAATCCGTACTGATTATTGGGCAACAAATTGTTATGTTCAACATACCAATCCAACCGGGTTTTCACTTAACTTTCAGCAGTTTTGATTAAGACAGAAGACAAGGCAATGGGACGGTAAGATGAGCTTTCTGTTGGATTTTTATTTGGTTTCAAAACTGGTAACAACTATCTGGCTTTTAAAAGATAGCGAAATTTCACCAGTCAACATGGATGTGTTAATCAACTGTAAATAACAATAAAGGGCAGAATCTTCCAAATTAGATAAAAGAGAATAAGTAAATCCATCACTACCAGGAGCAGAGTCTACAGTATTAGATAAAACGCCTCTCAATTCTTTCAACGAAAATGGCAAATTTAGCCCTGATTCATCATTTGAAACTAAAACTTTACCAAGAACTATTTGTTGTTGGGCTATCGGAGGGGCTAACTTATCAATGAACTGTTCAGCAATATCAAGAGGTAAGTTTCTTGAAGGGGAATCTTTAAAGGCAGATCTAAATCGACGTATCATGTTCCATACAACAGAAGAGTTGGTACTGGGACTTATGGAATCACAAAATCTACGCCAGCTTTGAAACTTCTTCTCTTTGAGAGTCTTTTTTGTTTCAGAGATAATTAACTTGAGCGACTCAAAGTTCTCGATAGCCATACTATATCGATATCGTTCTTCAGCCTCTTTACGCCTTTTAACAGCTGAGGTACATTCTTCATCCCACCGGACAGGGGAGGTGATATAGTTTGAATAACTGTTTTTAATAGGGAAAATTACATCTGCACACTGAGTAATTAACAAAGCTAAAGCGCTTGAATTTTCTATGACATTATTGCAGTTTATATTTGGTAGAGTAGACATATTTGATTTAATAAGCTTTTTAAATTGATCCCATTTATCACCTTGTAAGTTGTATCTATAGTTAGACTTGTATTTCAAGTTCTTTTTACTCTGAAATGGTAAAGTAATGACTATGGGGAAGTGATCATTACCAAAGGTAGATGTCAAGGTCTGCCATGTTAAGGAAAGTGATAAGCTAGGAGAACATATTGAAGGTCAATAGCACTAACAGAGTTGTTGGGGTCAGTAATGCGAGTAGGAGTTCCAGTGTTCAATAAGGAAAGATTGTTGGTGTCTAATATGTCAAGTATTTGATCTCCATAGCAATTTGATAAGCAGCTTCCCCATACTTGATGTTGACAATTAAAATCTCTCATGACTAAACATGGTTTGGGATTAATAGAAAACAGATTATTAATTTGATTTAATATTAAGGTAGTTGGATGAGGTACATAAATAGAAAGAAAACAAATATTATTTACAGAAATAACTCAATAGTCATCACTATGAGAAGGAAGATTAATTAAATAAAAGGGATAACAATTGCTAATGAGCAAGGCAACACCACCATGCCCATCAGTTCTGTCTTCTGACAGGAATAGCCTGGGATCTTAAACCTGAACTCAGGTCTAAACCAGGTCTCAGATAAAGAAATAATAAAAGGATTAAATTTATTTACAACATACATAAAGTCAGATTTTTTATTTACTATGCTTCGGCAATTCCACTGTATTACCGTTGCGTTGAGAGTGAATGTTAAAGTTTTGATTTAAACTTTGAGTTAAGCAAGCAACGTTGGACGGTACAATCATATTAGACTGGGATAATAGATTTATCAAATATAATATAATATCAGCTATGGAAGGCTGAGTACCCTCATTAATAAAATTGAACATTGTTCCTCTGGAATTTTCATTGGTCATATTATATTCCTTAGTAAACTCATTATGAGCTTTCTGATCATAGCCTGTTCGTTGCTTTGGTGGGTCTTTAGGTTTCAGAAACACAGTTTTTTTGTAAGATGATGGAGTAGTACTATGAGAAGTGGAAGTAAAAGAACTATGCGGAGGAGGTGGAGAAGCCAGAATATCAGCATAAGGCTTTGTCACTGCGGGATGAAGTTTGTAAGCTTCAGAATAAGAAATACTATTTTGAGCCATAGACACATTTATACGCCTCTGCCTTTCATATTCTGGACATGACTTGCTAGTAGCTAAATGAGACCCAGAACAGTGACAGCACTGAGCGTCACCTTCATCACCACATACACAACACCACATACAGAACATGATTCACCTGAGTGATCCTGCCCACACTTAAGACATCGAGGCTTAGAACGACATTGCAATTTAGTATGTCCATACCAACAACAACTTTTTTTTTTTTTTTTTTTATTTGGTCAGTCAACAATTGTTACACCAATAAGTTAGAAATATACATGCAAAAGCTTAAAACTAAGTGCACAATCAGTTATAGACCGACACTACATGCACAAGAAAATTATTACAGAGTAAGAAAAAACTTGCAAGAGGAAAAGTATTAACATTAATTCAACAGTACAAATCGCTTACAGAAAGAAATAGTGAAATATCTTAAGACTAAGTGAAAACATAAAAAAAAAGTTAGGTGATATAGTTTCAAGACGGTGATGACATTACGCGCTCCGTTTTTGTTACCGAGAAGTAGTGTAAATCAATTGTTGTGATCATTATACAACTTGCTAAGTCTTGCAATGGGAGAATTCGCGCCCAAAACAGTCCTGCGAAGAGGTTTGTAAAGAGGCTTAATGGGAAATCTAGGCAGTTTGCGGGGAACATTAAATGATATGAGGTTTAGAACTGAACTGCATTTAATTTGATTATTTAACATTTTGTATAAAAACATCATATCTAAAATGTCCCGTCGCTTCTCCAAGGACAGCATTTGGAAGTTTGTGAGTCTTGATGTATACGATCGAAATTTTTTAGCTTGTCCTGTGTAGAACGCTAAATGATTCACAAACCTCTTCTGTATCCTTTCCAATCTCAGTGAGTGAGTAGCGAAATGAGGACGCCACACAGTGCTACAATATTCTAGAATACTACGGACTAAGGTGTTATAAAGTATTAACTTTGTTTTTGGATTCTTAAACGCTTTACAGGTTCTGAGTAAGAAACCTAAGTTACGAGAGGCACTTTTTGTGGCTTTATCAATATGAGGTACGAAAGTGAATTTCTTATCAAGTATTACACCGAGATCTCTCACCATATCAGACTCAACCAGAAGTGTCCCTTCTATGTAGTAATTAGTGGAGATAGGTGAAAGATTTCTAGTAAACTTAATATGGGTACACTTTGCAACATTCAACTCTATACCATTGCTCTCACACCAATGTACCAAACTATTTAAGTCTGCTTGAAGAAGCTTGGAGTCATTGTCACTAAAAATGACCCTGGAAATTTTCAAGTCATCAGCGTACATAAAAGGAGAAGAACTCCTAATAGTCAAAGGAAGATCGTTAATGAAAATATTAAATAAAATTGGTCCCAGGTGTGAGCCCTGGGGCACGCCTGATGTTGCTCGTTGCAACTGAGAGCTGTAACCATTGACAACCACATAAAATAATCTATTTTCTAAATACGATTCCAGCCATTTGTAAAGAGAACCACTAACGCCATAAACGGAAAGTTTTTTACATAAGATGTTGTGTGGCACCTTATCGAAGGCCTTACTAAGATCCGTATATATGACATCGACTTGATGGTGAGAGTCAATGGATATAATACTTGTTGAGCATTATAAAACATAAATATTCTTTTTGGTAAAACTTGCCCATCCAAGGTGACAACTACAGTTTGGGAGGGATTCCACGTAGTTTGATTGTCAACAGTCACCTTATAGCACCTTATAGTATCTTAACAATATCTGCACAACCAATAGGAACTGACATACTTTCTTTCACTTCCTCGGTGGTTAGGTCTGCAGGAACTACACGAACTAGGCCCATTCTGGTAATGCTGAAGGTAGGTATAAAAGCTTTGTAATTGCTAGCTACCAAACTAGTGTCATTAAAAAAAAATTAGCGCTCTGGAAGTCTGAGAAGGATAGGGAAACTCTGTTCATGCCAATCTTTTTCACACTACCATTAATTATGTTTTTAAAACAATTCTTTTTAAGAAAATTGACAAAGTGAACTGGGTGTATAGACGTTCCGTCATTAAAGGAAGTGGTTAATCTTTGTACATGAACTACATACGGAGAGATATCTTGATGCTCAAACAATTGGCGGCCTGGCAAATCCTGGTCTTTCTGGATAGTATTAGTATTCGTAGAAGGGGTAGGTATGGGAGCAGCAACAGGCTGAACCGGGGAAGATGATGGGGGCGTCGAGAAAACTTCTGTAGTACTGTTCAACTTGGTACCGCAAATGTCGCTATCTGAACAACCACATCCATTGTCTGATTGAGACTTATGCTTACGTTTTTTCTTATTGCAATGTTGCAAATTTTACGCTGCCGGATACGTTTTCTGCCTTTTAGAGAGTTATCAGTATGGTCCGTGTCCATACTGCAATCATTGGAGGCAATAATCACGTTTCTACCAACTGAGGGGACTGTGCCCCCTGGATCAGGGGCTCGTCCATTTTAGGCAAAAGGAATAATGATAAAACTCACCAGATGACGATGATTATTTACACAAAAAACAATATATACAATCAAATAAATAGTATTTACACAAATACTACACTCCTGACCCCCTAATTACAATTATCATTAAATATTCAATTTCTAAGCCGAAAAACTAACCCGCCTAAATCGAGCTTTCCCGCGCTTTTTTCACCACAGATTTAGTATATAGGTACCTTCCACTGTTCCAGCCTATTAGTAGGTTGTGTTCCAGCCACCATAAACCATAGAGTGTAAAATTTTGACGTACAGTGGTCATTCTTGAGTCGTGACTTGAGCTTAATGGATAAAAGAAAAAATCTTGAAAATCACTCGTTCGTAGTTATTCTTATCTATGCTCGCAGATGTTTCCACGTGTTGTGATTTCCTTAATTTTCTTCAAAACAATATTTAGTGATTAAACAGGAAGTAATTAATTGAAATCTGCCATAATATTACAAAATGCCTAAATCGAAAAGAGATAAGAAAGGTGAGTACCGAACTTAACCTTATTTTAGGTACATACTATGTATTCTTTTAATTTTTATCGTGAAATATATTTTCATTCATTTCAGTTTCCCTCACACAAACAAACAAAAAGGGTTTGCTTTTGAAACAGAAGACTATAGAAGAGATCAGAAAGTCTTTGTCAAAGTATGAACATATTTTTTTGTTCACTGTTGATAACATGAGAAACACTAAACTGAAAGACTTACGAAGTGAATGGAAGGACTCCAGATTCTTTTTCGGCAAGAACAAAGTTATGGCAATTGCGCTAGGAAAATCTAAAACGGATGAAGTTGAAGATCAATTGAACTTGGTAAGTACAGTAAATATTCAGTCACTTGGTATAGTTAAATGTCATTTGCCACTCCTAGTTGCACAGTTAGCAGCAGTTTTAACATAATATCCCTGCACAGATTACCTCTAATAAAAATTTGATTTGTAATAGTCTTGCTTACCAGTTCCTAAGAGCAGTTAATCTTCATTTAAAGCTCTATTGTTATTATGGTTTATTGGTAGATCTTTATTTTATTCAATTTACTTGATTGTATTTAACTTAATTTATTTACAAATTTATTATAACAGGCACTTTATAGGTTATTGCATTGATACAAACATGCGATTTCAATGATACAAAGTACCGAGTTCATCAATACAATTATGTGTTTGCATTGATACAATTGCTCTATTACATTGATACAAAGCATGAGTGCATTGATGCAAACATGCGACTACATTGACGCAGTCACTTGTGTTGGATCTTTGTGTGAAAAATCTGTATAGGTTGAAGCACACTGTTTTGTTTTGTTAATAGTAAATTCAAAAGTGAAATAAAAAATGTGCATCACATTTGCACCGATTTTATCACTGCTTAAGTAGGGTGTGTGTGGAAAAGGTAGACGATTGACGACTGTATTACTACTGAATCTTGACTGAATCGCCACAGAAGTCGTCGCATGTGACCACTTTTATTTACACACCTCAATTACACCAACTCTTACAAGAGTTCTAGGCAATTTGTTGGTTCCATTTCATGACAAAACAAGATATTTATAATAAAATCCAGAATAATCCAAAAGTATTTACTTTTATTCACTGAATGTTAATACAGTTATTTGCATTTACAGTTGTCAAAGCGATTAAAAGGTCAATGTGGTCTACTAATGACAAACAGAGCTGTCCCTGAAGTCATGGAATGGTTTAAAGATTACAAAGCCACAGAATTTGCTCGCTCTGGTTTTGTAGCAACTCGTGATGTTATACTGCCGGCAGGTCCACTTGAAGACTTCTCACATACAATAGAACCACATCTAAGGCGACTTGGACTCCCCACATCACTTGAAAGAGGTGTAATAAATGTCATCAAAGAATATCAGGTAATGTTCTTTTGTAGGGTAAACACCTTAAAAAATAACATTTTGATCAAAATTCTAGGTCTTTTATATATATTTTAAATTTTTTTAGATTGACAAAATAGTATAGTAATAATGAATTAATGTAAATTGCATTTATTTATTTTCAAATGTTTGCTTAAAGTAAGTCACTCTGTCAGTAATGCTGTTTATTAACCATTAAATGTAAGCTCATTAGCTGCTCTCTGACTCCAGAATGACCACTGTGTTGATTTTTTTTCTTAACAAAATAAGTATATTTTCATTTCAGGTGTGCAAAAAAGGTACTCCACTAACACCAGAGCAGGCTAGTACATTAAAACTTCTTGGCATTGAAATGGCAAAATTCAAATTGGTAATCAAATGCCATTGGACTAAAGGCAAGGGTTTTCAAAAGGACTTGGATATGGCTAGTGATGAAGAGGAAAATGATGGTGATGACAATAATGAGATTTTAGAAGATACCATGGATGAGGATGAGACTTGATTTAATAAATAAATATATTTATATTATGTGTATTAATTTGATTTTTCTTTAATCCTTTTTCTCTAATAAATAGGTTTTGAGTATACAAACACTGGAGGCGGCATCGATAGGCAGTCCCCTGTGCCAAGGTGAAAGTAAATAAATACCACCACAAAATAAAAACTATTTTTGAATCGATTTTTTCCATTTCCATTATCGAATTCGCCACGTCAAGTGGACCTGCCGACAGCATAACATCCCGAGTTGCTACAAAACCATAGCGAGCAAATTCTGTGGCTTTGTAGTCTTTAAACCATTTCATGACTTCAGGGACAGCTCTGTTTGTCATTAGTAGACCACGTCAACCTTTTAATCGCTTTGACAACTGTAAACGCAAATATCTGTATTAACATTCAGTGAATAAAAGTAAATACTTTTGGATTATTCTGGATTTTATTATAAATATCTTGTTTTGCCATGAAATGGAACCAACAAATTGCCTAGAACTAATAACGCATACACGCATACACTCAACATAGCCCCGCACTAGGGAAACCCTGTGTCGCGGGTGCCATGGACACACACATAGACAACTACAAGTTACACCCAAACTCACGAGAGAAATAAATGTAGGTCATACAAATATTTCTCCCGGCCCGGGAATCGAACCTGGGACCTCTGCGTGGCAGTCCGGCATGGTAACCGTTCGGCCACTGAGGCAGTTCATGTAACCAACTCATGTAAGAGTTGGTGTAATTGAGGTATGTAAATAAAAGTGGTTACATGCGGCGACTTCTAGTAGCGCATCTGCAGCGATTCAGTAGCAATACAGTCGTCAATCGTGTACTTTTTCCACACACGCCTTACTTAAGCAGTAATAAAATCGATGCAAATGTGATGCACATTTTTTATTTATTTTTTTATTCCACTTTGGAATTTACTATTTTACTTACTTACTTAGTTTACTTAATTAGTAAATACTGCAAATGTGACGGGGATAGGGATATTTTAGTATGGACATGATGAATGAGGTGTTCCTATATAATAATCATTCAACTCGGGTCGAATGATTATGCTTGGATTCGACTCGGGTCGAATGATTATGCTTGGATTCGACTGAATGATTTGCGCATTCGAATGATTAGTATTAGTAACATTCCAAGTCGCGCATAGCTATTATGGACCCCATTTGTAATTTAGCATCCAAAGTTATAGGTATCTAAAAATACAACCGTTTCTACGAGGTTCATTTTTTCGTTAGAAAGAACATTGGACTATATAAATTTCACACAATTTGTTTCTTCGTAGTTGAGAAGCAGGTTATAACCTGCGAACCAATCAACTACCTTAGAAATAGCATTGCTAACATCGTCATTTGAACGTTGGTGCCGAATAAACAAACAAGAATACCTACTAGGTATCTCATGTTATTTACCTTCATGACACTAGATAAGTCGGTGAACCTTGAGAGACGCTCATCAATTCGACCCTCTGTGCCCTATCTCTCAAATACGATTTAAGAATGTCGATATCACGACCACCACACTACAGGTAATGGCGAAGTTTCCTGACCAAAGTATGATGGTGCACACAATCTATAATGCCTTCGAAAGTTCGTAAAATACACTAATAGCATCTTTTGAGTCTTCCCATGCATTTAATATACATAGGGCGCACTATAAGTTTCCGGAATTGGCCACTTTACATAAACAATATTTAAAAAGTAGTCACAATATTTGAAAATTGAACTTTTTGGCTGTAGAATACAGGTTGATTCATCTGATTGTCACTTGTTTTTACATTGTGGCGTCACTTTAGAAATTGGTTGTCTACATCACCATGGATTTAACTTGTGAAAATTTTCGTAGTATGATTTTCTACGACTAAGTGTAATGTAACAGCTCAGAGGAGCTTCGCTCGGCTTCTAACTGCTTTTGGCGATGAAGCACCATGCAAGACGACTATTTATAGCTGGTTTGCAGAAATCAAGCGCGGTCATTTGGATCTCAGTGGCGAATTTCATGATGGTCGCCAGTCCACTGCTGCGAACAACAAAAACATCTATGCTGTGCGCCGTATGATAAAAACAGACAAGCATGTGACATACCACGAGATTCGGTCATCTTAAGGCATAGGCTTGAGTCAAATACTATCAATACTACACAAACATTTGTGTGCGAAAAACCTCTCGGTGGATCCCACACAATTGGATTGAAGCTCAAAAAAAAGTCTCGTTTAGTATGAATGTTTAATCTCCGCTAATATAGCTCACAATAATTAATTTAATTTGAAGTTATAGTGGTTATTAAGTAGATGAAAAAATAAGGGCGATAAAAAATAATTTACTCTCAAAGTGGGCAGTAGACAAAATAACTTTGGGAACCCCTGCTTTAAATCAATAGAAATAAAAAATACTGCTGATCTTGATGGTATTTCCGACAAAGTTAATTTATTCCCCAGTTGATTGTACGTTTTTAACAAATCTGTTCATCATCCTCATGAAGCAAGTGTTTTGGGAAAGGCTGATGTACCTAAAGGCTTCTTCTTCTTCTTTTTATTTATTAGTGGCTTGTTCTATCTTTCACAATTCCGCCAAAATTTAAAGGCTTTAAGAATGTCTTTTGGAATATATAGGTATGGAGTAACTTTAAATTAGTAAGACCACAGATTACAAAATATACTCTAACATTTTCTTTCAATAAGTTGATCTGAGGGAGACTAGTTTAACGCCTTGGTATTGGTAGTCGAAACCGTAATGTCAGAAAAAAAAAATTAAAATAATTTAGCAACTTCTGTGTCTGTTTTTACAATTTTGAACTTTATCATCAAATCTTAGTTGAAAATCTAAGTTTGACTTTTCCAGTTTTTCTATTTATAATGGTACGGTATAGTATGGTGTGATGGGCTGGTGGCTGATAAACTTGTAAGGTGTAAACCGAAATCCGAGTAGACTTCTATACGATCTAGCTCGTACGAGCCCACTCAGATGACTATATTTGGCTTTATGAAAACAAAATGGCGCCAACTGAGAAAAAGTGGAATGAACGCGACAATGAGGTTTTAAACTTGTTTTTAACTTCCACTTCACGAATGTAATTATTTAAGCTACCCAGTTAGTCACGTCTTAAAATCCATTTTTGGACCAAATTTTTCTCTTGCTATTAGTGTGTCTTTGTCATATTGATTGTTCAAGGAAACAATTGCTACTTGGATACTGATGAACTTGTAAGGTGTAAATAGAAATCCGAGTGGACTTCTGCATGCTGATTTTGATTCAAATCAGAATCGAACCGATCGGGTAGTCTCGAAATCAGATGGGTTTCTGAGCGAGAAGATGGACCTGATTCCTACTATATTTTTCTAATTTATGAGTTAAATCAACTATTGTTCCGATTAGAAATGTCAAATGTTTCCGTTCGGCCAGTTGTGAATTGCAATTATGCGCCTCGACTCGGAAAAAACGCAGTTTCCGATCGGGAGAGGCAATCAAAATCAAGCTGCTGTACGATCTAACTCGTATATAAGCGCATTCAGATGACTACTCGGGCGCTATTCGTAATGTAAACACATGATCCGAGCGCATACGAACGTCGGCATTCGACCAGGTGGATTCGGACACGGTTCCATTCTTGCGAGTATACTCGGATCATTTTATGAAAACAAAAAGGCATCAACCGTGGAATGAACGGTACGAGGTTTTAACATAGATATAGGAAAAAGATTTTAAAGGTATTTTTGTCTTCCCCTTCACGAATAGTCACGTCTTAAAATCAGTTTTGTGGCCAAGATTTTTCTATTGCTGTTCTTTCTCTTCCATGATTTCGTACTTCATTACGTTTCGTACGCCATTAACATATATGGTACAACTCATATACCTCGCAGCAGCAGGAGCTCAATCGTCATCATCTTGATTGTGCAAGGAGATAAATGCTACTTGGACGCCGATGAACTCGTAAGATGTAAACCAAAATCCGAGAGGACTCCTATACGATCTAACTCATACGAGCGCACTCTGTCCTATAGCACTCGTATAGTGAAAACCCGGCTAACTTTGAAACGGGGCGTATCGACTAAATCTAATTTATAGAAATTAGAAATGACTAAATCACAACTTTTTCTAATCGCAACGCGGGTGATGAGGTGGTGCTCAAGAGTAAAGAACGGAAACAACATAATCATTGTATCCCAGTGTGAATAAAACCGCACGCGAAAGAATGGAGTACATCAGTAGACAATTTCTTCAATAATAATAATGCCTTACTACAGGTCCCTGCCATTAGGGTCGTATTTTCAGTGCTTATGTTTCCAGTGCAATCCTGACTTGAGCATTGAGTAGAGTTCTAGAATACGACCCTAACAGTACCTAAGCGAGAACTAGAGAGGATAGGGAAACACCGAGGGCTAGCACACAAAATATAAATAGTTGTAGAGCGCTTCGAAGATAAAGGTTAGTACGTACATACACTTATTTAGGATAAACATTATCCAATAAACATTTTCACTTCATATTCCAAAATGTTTATTAAAATAATCACAGAAACAATAAACAATCTTATAAAAAAATATCCAATAATCGACTAAAAAAAAACCAGCAATCTATATTTTAAAAACAAATTTAATGAACTTAATTTATAATACATATTACAAAGAAATAATGTATTTATATGTCTTATACATACATTTTGACGAATTTCCTAACAGAAGCTGTGCCTCTGAATTAATGTGACTGAATGTGTATATTTAAACACGAAACATAACTTAGCAATACATACAATAAGGTAATCACAGTACAAAAATAAAGCATAGCTTCATCAGTCGACATCACAGCTTACTCAACCTGCAAATCAAATTCAGACTCGAGATATACATAAATTCACTAATTAATTACAAAAAGCCCTAGCAATTATTACGTCATTTTTTTTCGGAACATACAGTCTTTAAATAATAATAATAACATCAATATTCGTCCTAAGAGACTACAAAGAAATATTTCCTATTACAAAATGCCAAATGTAGAGATATAAATTGAATTTAAAAAAACTGGTAAACAATTACAAATTTTGAAAAATTACTTATGTAACAATAACTTATACGTTAGGCAATTGTCAAAAAATTATTATAAATATCATTGTCTTTGTAAACTTTACTATATCCTTATATAAAATAAAGCATCAATGGCGCGTGAGCGGTACATATTTCTATTATTTGGTGAATTCGGTAGGCGATATTGCAGCGCAATGGCTAATTGGCTAAATTTAAAAGCTAAATTTGCACTTTCATTAGGTATCCGACATAAATACATTCTGTTAATAATGCTATAACACCAAGCAATAATGTAATGAGATCTTATGTCCTCAAAGAAAGAATAATTAATCAAAATCTATTGTCATGGTATTAGTTAAGATTGTTGATGACTGACACAAAAAGACAAAAAATCAAGGACTTATTTCGTTCTTCGAGATCTTACTCGCTAGGTACACTTCCCGGAGATAATCAAATCTTGTTATACAAAAAAATATTTTTTAAATTGCCTAATATTGAGAAAAACATCTTGATTGCGATCCCTTTCACCACACACTGGCTTCTTACTACTTACTTCCTTCTCAATGTTTAGTGGGAACGGGCGCGGCAGCTGGTAGTTCCAGCAACTGCAAAGGTTCACGCCAGAAAATCGTCTGGGAAAACTCATCGCTCGGTTCGCAAAGAGCTGGAGGGAACACCTGGTCGACCAACACCGACATATGCGAGTACCTGAAGAAAATAAATCCCATGTAATTATTACGATTTTATTTTATATTTTATTCAACATTATTATTATTATTAATAACTATTTTTAATAGGTAATTAGTTACATTGAAGCCAGGTAGTAAAACTTTTTCAGCTGAAAATTGTAAAAGATATCGTTCAGACTTTGAAAGCTAAATAAAATTTTTGGAAGACAAATAGAAATTCGGACTCGGCTATTGAACGCCGAGTCTAGAAACAAGATTTATGTACTGTATTATTTAAGTAAAGAAAAAGCTGTGTTCATCGAGAAAATAATGACTTGTAATTCTAACTAAACAGTTTTACACGTCGTTACAGTAGCTTATGGTCATTCTCATGGAACTAAACCAAAAGCAGAAGAAGTTAAATCCTACACCAAAACCATATCAATGAGAGACAAAGACAATGTGGAAGATATCTCGTTGTCGAGAGGAAAATGTAATTAATGAAATTCAAACAGAGGTAAAAACGAATATAGACGAGAGACGCACAAAGACAAATGAAATGTCAATGATCGCTAACTTGTTTTATAAGTATTTGTAGCTATGAAGTTGTAAGACAATGGTATAAAATTAGTATTTCTGATGAATGTGTGTGCGGTCTTGCGTGTGACCAAGCCAAGTCATGCCATACGGCTTACCGGAATGTCGAGGTCTCGATAAATCTGGCATTATTAAAATATTTCCGTATCTAATAAAATAATTAAATTTTAAGTTTATTTTTCATTGGTGGGAAGAAATCATCGACCATGTTACTTTGCACGTGGTAACTGAAATAAAAATATACAGCTTTATTACTACAAGAGTTAGTTCGAACAGGGTGATCAGTGTGAGGTACAAATTATAGAAGAATAGTTAATTTAGTTGTTTCACAACTGGATGAAGACGTGATCAACGAGTATTTGAATACGTGGATAGAACAGATACTTACGTTGATTGGAATGTTTGAGTCAGTTCGTGTTTGAGCTCTCCTTTGTAGTTGATGGTAAATATTCTTACGATTGGAATGCCGACAGCTTGGTAGGCGCAAACATCCTGTCAACAGAAAGGTAAATTACAAATAAATATAATATTACAAATAATCCAAAAATCGTGACACACGATATTATTGTTTAGAATCTCGGTAGAGAGTACTAAAAAAACCGACCTCAAAAGTTCGAGGAATCTATTTACCAAGTTTTATTGAAATCGGATACCGGAAAGTGCGCGAAACCGGATTCATCCCGTAGTTATGCCCTTAGAGGTGGAATATTTTCTTCAAATTTAAGTGGAACCAATACTGAGGTACCCCTTTCCAACAAAAAAAATCATCAAAATCGGTTCACAAATGCCAAATATCGGAGTTATCGAGTAACATACATACAAAATACAGTCGAATTGAGAACCTCCTTTTTCAAGTCGGTTAAAAATATGAAAAACTTTATTTCTGATGTCCAAATAACCTGCGACTTAGCACGACATGTCCATAAATGTTAAAACAAACTCTGTTTGCAAAATGCATAGTTAATGAACAGTGTTTTATATGTGTATCAATGGTTTTTATCAGTCTTAGAACTAAACTTATGTTTTTTTAAGAATAATAATGTGCCTGAGAAACGCATCGATCACCTAGTTTCAAACTAGAGAATTCAGTGAGCTATAAGTACTAGAGAACGAAATTAACACAAGAGGCACTACCCAGACATCGGAGCCTCTCATATAGTGCTAACAATGCTAACCGTTGGGTTATCAAGATCATTTATTATATATTATTCACATGTGAAATTACAAATTGCTAACTCACGACCATTCGTACAGCAGATTCCCGTGAGAGGAAATATTCACTTTTTAGTAGATATGAAGGTCTACATTGCATTGCTCCTTCTAAGGTGTATCAAATAGAATTTATCCGAGGCAAGATTTAATAACCTATGTCAACAAGACACCTATATTTAGTAATGAACAAAAAGTACCAGTCGGACTACAGTAACCTAAATAACTATTAAAATGGAACTTACATTAACCCTATTGCCGTATCCGGCATAAAAAGGATTGGATCCCGTAGGGAACAGTGCTTTGATGTCAGCTAGACATTGGATCTTGAATTCTTCAGGTTTCTTCTCGATGACTTCGCGATGAAAAGCGCGCAGCAAAGACGTAGGGTTCAGCAGAAGCGGCCCGTCGGGCAGGCATACTTCGCCTTGGCGGATAGAGCGTAGGTATTCACGAGTTACCTATAAAATTACAACTAGTTATTGCTTGTTAAGAATAGTAATTATGGCAAATCTGTTCATTGATTAACAAAGGAACAGTAGGCAACAACAGGGAATAAGAAAAAGTTTTTTATAACTATTAACATAAAGATCGAACACTTTGAAAAAAATTCTCCAATCTGGCCGGATTCGAACCGAACGTCTTCTAGAAAACCGTGTCAGACGCTATGCCAACTAAGCCACGCAACGAACCAACCGGCCGGATCGAAAGAATTTTTTCTAAGTGTTCGATCTTTGTATTAATAGTTATAACAAACTAGTGGAGTAATTTCACATAAAAATAATTGAATATCAATTCAATAAAAAATTTAAAGAAATGGGTTTTTTATCATATTTAGTAACGGGACAAACAAGTGGTGCGCCTGATGGTAAGCTACACGCCTGTCCATAACACTTGCAGTGCCACTCAGAGCTTTATATCGCAAAGACTCGAGGGGCACAGCCACTGCACCCGTCACTCTGAGAAATAAATTGACAAGTCCCATGTGCCTGTGATTTCACCAGCACCCTTAACCCTTCAAAACCGGAACACAGTAATGCTGAGATTACTGCTTGACGGCAGAAATAGATAAGGTGGCAGTACTATTCTTTCACAAGGAGCTACTACTGCTACTGCAACGTTCTACGAAACTCACTCTATTATGTGTTTAGGTTTCCATTGAGAATGGAAACCTAAACACCTAAGAGTGTATGAACAAAAAGGGTGAAAAGTAACCTTTGTGGGAGATTTCTGCCTGCTTTATAACAACAGAAGCGTATTTTTATGTTTGATTTACTTAAGTTATACTGACTTTATATGAAAAGCAACTTCACGTTTACCTAGTTAACATAACTTACTCTAGCTTGTCCAATGGCTCTCGCTGATAAATATAATATTTGATAGCCATTTTTTTTTATCTTAGTGAACAGCTGAGCGACGCCGGACTGCGCCCAGTCCTTACCCACCAGTGGGAAAATGTGGCCCAGCACGTCCGACCTGAATAGCAAATAACTTTATGGTCAGAAGTCTCACGGCTGTAATATAAACAATATTGATGAAATAAGCATAGCATTATCAGAAACGACTACGCCTAATAATATAATGAAGTTACACATAATTGCACTGCAAATTTTACATGTAATTACGACAAGTTAATTTGAGTATGAACTGCTAGGTTTAAGTATGAGAGTAAGCGAACTATTATAACATTTCTAACAAGTTTAGGAGTTTATTATAAAAAAAAGTCGGTTTTAAAATTTGTTTTCATCCTACAAACATATTAGTAAAATGCAAATAAAATTTTGAAAGTTGTTTAAAAATAATGGATTTTATTCAAAAATATACTTCATGTGCTACCAGAAAAGAAAAAATTCTTATCGTTAGAAGAGACAAACAAAGAAATATAGTACTACTTACTTGGTAATGGTTCCATCAATATCGGAGATAACGATTTTGTCGTCGTACCGCCAGCGGAAGACGTTGCACTTGCACCGCGTGGTTCCTTGGTAGGCCGTCGTCACACTGAATACCATCTCGTTCATTCCCTCGCGGAGGTTCAGTTTTTTCTGTTACAATTTATTATTCAGGTCAATTGTAAAAATTATATTGGACCCCATTTTATAGCTTACTCCATTATTATAGAATAGGCTTTATTTAAAATGCAAAATACATAAATCTCAAACAAAACAAAAACAAATTAATAAAAATAAATTCAAGTTAAAATAAAAAAGAAGCATGTCAAAAGGGGCCATGACTCAGCCTCTGAGGACTATACTAATTACATAGCCCTCGCTGTTATTCTGTTATGGCCCGTCATAATATGGAACACCACAATGCAAATAATATAATGTTACATATGAGTCATTTACAAAAAACTGCTTGTCAAACCACATTGCCTGATTAAAATGTCATTTGATAAATACCTAACAAAGAATCGAGATATAACATTCTTTCTCATACATATGTCATACGATATTTATGACATTATGTTTGTATTATTGTTTATTTATTATTATGACATTATTTATGTCATTATATTATTACACTTTGTGTAACAAACATTGTGAGGAAATCTATGGAAGTCGAACGGTTGAAGATTTAATTAAATTTTTCAGACTGTATAGTTACTTGCATACTTTAGGTAAGAGCGGTTAACTATGCCTTGCCGCATAGTCTCGTTTTAGAGGAAATCCGTGTTCAGCAATAGGGTGTACATGGATTGATATAATCGTACTAGAATAGATAATTGCTTGTAATGTTAGGAGATATAAGTGAGATAACTTACAATTTGATCAGAAGACAGCCTGAGAGTTTTTCTAAAGGTGGAATGTCTACGAGTAAGTCTTTGAACGTGGTTGTCTTGATCCGAGTCCGAGGAACTCTGGTCTTGACGATCACCTACGAATTGTAACATATTTATTAATATTTTTTTCTACTTAAAATTCATTTATTTAAACTGTAAAATAAACGAAACATACTAACTAGAGAATATTACATTTAGTAATAAGCAGCGATCGGAATTGAGGGAGTTAATTTACCTAAAGTATGAACGTTTTTTTAGTATGGACATACCCATTTCGTCATTAATTACTACTAACTAATTTTATACAAAATTACTTGTTTTACTGTATATTGTCTAAACATTCCAAAATATAGGTCGCCTCGTGTGTATTATTTAAATATCAAAGTATTTAAACTCGTAAGTACCTATAGAAACACAACCTATTTTTTGAGACAATAATTCGTAACAAATACGTAATAGTAAATAATTTGTCGCCAATGTACTCAAATTTCAATAAGTAATATTCAAGTCATCAGTTCCGAGAAGTCCCGGGATTTGTAGAGGGTATGTCCACATCATCCTTTACTTTAGTAACTCCCTCAATTCCGATCACTGGTAATAAGCAATCATCAGCATCCTTTGCAAAGGTTTTATTATTTTTTTTTTTATTGTTATATTATTTATTTAAGTAGACGTTTTAATTATTATTTTTACACTTAAAAAGTTAAATCCTTGACACGATTAAAATCCAACACAAAAAGTTACTTAACCCGTTCATAGACAGTAACGGCGTTAACCGTAAGATTAAATATCAGAACATGATAATACGGGGTACCCCGTTTCGCTATTTGCTACTTCTCCATAGAGAAGTATCGACAACATACGACAAAATTCAATGATTTACATGCACACTTTTGTGGACGTTCATTAAGACTGCACAGTGGACACCAACGTGAGATGATATAAGTACATGTCAATGAGATGATAATATAAGTACATGTCCGTGCCATTGAACTTTTTAACAGCAAAAGTAAGTTTTAACCAAATTTTTTCTCTAAATACGCATATGTAATATAAGTAGCAGTGCAATATAACTGCCACCTTACCCTGAGACATAAGTTGGCAATTCCCATGGGCCTATAATTTCACCAGTACCCTTAGCCTACCAAACCGGAACGCAGTCATGCTCACGTTACTGCTTGGAGGCAGAAATAGGTAAGGTAGTTGTTCTTCCCTGGATGAACTTTCACAACATGCTCTACTGTTTTTTTATATTTTTTTTTAATAATATCAAGTGACAGGACTTGGTAGATAAGAGTGTTTGTCGGTAATTAGCTTAATTTAACACTATTTAATTATTTTTCTGAGTTATGCTTGCATTTTACACATTGCACTTGTCAACTCATGTCTCAGGGTGACAGGTGCAGTGGCAGTGCCCCTCAGATCTTTGTGATTTAAAGCTCAGAGTGACACTGTAACTGTTACCCTGTGTGCACACGACACGAATTTCATCGCGCGGCGTGTGCACGGGCGCTTATGGACAGGGGATCTAGTCGCGATCTCCGTCCGACATCCGTCCGAAACAATTATTGTCAAATAAGTAATACTCGAGCAAATCAAAAGAAGCATGATGCGAATGAAGCTTCATACTTGACATTAGTCTTTTTGATTTTGGTCGAGTATTACTTATTTGACAGTAATTGTATCGGACGGGTGTCTGACGGAGATCGAGAGTAGACCCCCAGGGGTGTAGCTTACTATCAGGCGCACGACTACTTTGTTCCGTCATTTGATATTAAAAAAATGTTTTTAGCACTAATTTTCTTTTTGTGTTTAGTTCATAAGATCGTAAAATCTATAGTTTTCTGAATTATTTCTACAGTTATAATTGGAATGCAGATTTATTGATGTTTATTTTTAAAATAATTTTTTTTGAAAATAATGATATAATCTGTTTTGTCACCAAACTAAACTGGTAAACAAACTACGTCACAAAGAAAAGTAGTGACGTATTTGTGTGCGGTACTATTTAAGTACTGTCCATGAACAGGTTAAATACTCACTGTCTGTAAAAAAGTTTTAACTCAGTTATTGAGATGTATGACATTTTTAGTAATTCGATGCCTTACTTTCTCAAACTCGTGTGTGCAAAGCTTTCTATTTATTTTAAATTTCTTATTCAGAGTGTTAATTTGGATGCATTATTTTAAGAATGGGCAAAAGCCAGTGTGTGAATATGAAGGAAATGTGATATGAAATCAGTCTGCGAAATTTGTATATACAATCCAATTTTTTAATTTCAGTAACTTTGTGTTTTAAGATACGGGTTTGAGAAAGTAAGACGACGAATTGATACTATGCAAGCAGAGGGAGTTCATCTATAACTGATATAGTTACCTAGGTGTTGTTTAGGTTCAATCGGAAAAGAGGCATCCGGTTCGTCCTTGAGCAGTTCTTCATGCTCCACAACATCGTCGACGTTTGACGGTTCGGTTGTATCCGCTGCTAGTTCCTCTTTGGGCTGAACAGCTTCATTCTCTGTTATATCCGTAGCCGTTTCTTCTGGGCTTTCTACTTGTGGTAGACTTGTTTTCAGCGCTTCCTCCTTAGGTTGTGATGATTCTGGCCTGGATAAATACACAATTTTTTGTTACATTAATTTCCAAGTTCTTCGCCCTATATATAAGATTTTGGAGCTGCAAACAATTCTTTACTACTTAGGTATACAAATCGACTGCTCAAGAGCTTGTCACGCGGGTCTCGCGTAATTAAATACAAAACTCGGCCCACATGAATTTTATTGTAATAATATTTTATTTAAAATTTATTGTAGAAAGAGTACAGGAAGGGAAAAGAAGAGGTAAAGACATAAAAACTGTAACAAAACAATGATTTAAAAACAGGTACAATGGTATAAAACAAAAAGATAAAAAGGTGGGATGACGATGAAAGAGGTCGCATTGTCTGTCTGAGGCCTGGGTAATTTTCAGGTAAGTTTTTTGTACTCATTGAGTTCTTATATAGGTTTTCGCGATTGTTACACATAGGAAATGAAACTATTTATCAGGATTTAAATCGCGTATATTTGTTTTTTTTTAACTTTTTGTACTCACTTTTGATGAGAATTTCTTTTTATTTAAATATTTATAGAATATCATCATGAAGTATTATTTTATATTCGAGTGTGGTAATTTGAAATATTCTTTAATATTTCACGATGGTATATTCGAGTAATTAAATAATAAAAATTGTCACCAAAATTGAGTACAAAAAACTTACCTGAATATTACTGGTCTAATGCTATATCGTATTAACAACACGTGTTACATATTTCCGCTCTTTTGGCATCACAAATACGTTGCCATACACGAAACATGCCAAGAAATTGGACACGATTATTAATAGCTTAATGTGCTTTTATGCATCTCTTGAAAATGAAGTATCTGTATACCTATAACCAAATAACTGTATATTGTGTCTAAATAAAACTGGTTTTATAGATGACTAGTTGGTGCCCGCGACTTCGTCTGCGTAGAATATGTACTTCCAGAAGCCTGCTGTACTACACTAACTTTCGTAGTTTTATTGGTCCTCTATACAAACTAACATCCTCTATTTCACCCTCTTTATGATTTATTTTTGTGACAAAAAGTAGCCTAGCTTATGTCCTCCTAGGTCCCATACATCTCTATACCAAAACTCATTAAAATTGGTTTAGCGGTGTAGACCTGAAAACATAACAGACAGACAGACGAAGTTACTTTCGCATTTATAATATTAACTTTGGATCTAAAGCCAAAAATAATATTATTATTATCAAGAGCAAATATGTGTTCATTGTGAGATACATTTGCGCAACAATGTGTTAGCAACTTTTCAAAATCCTTTTCAAATTTAAAAAAAAACTTGTTTCGTTTACTATTTCAAGCTGAAAGTAATATTATCAGGAGTAAACATAATTACGCAATATGTGATTGTTGTAAACAACACTTTTGCCAGACACAACAATAGCTACGGGTATGCATATGCCGAACGTAATTTTGGCCTAAGTGCGCAGTACGTTGAGAGTAAGCGGCAGTGGTACCTCTTGGCTTCCGCGTTGGAACGCCGCCAGCTCCACCATGAATATGAGCGCGGCTTGACTGCACTGTCAGCCGTGCGAGACGTCTCAGAACCTTCTTTATCGGATGAACTCTTCTCTAGATCCTCTAGTACTCGCTGGAAACATCCAGAAAATAATAATAATAATGTGCTAGATATAATACTTAGTCCATATACAGATTTTTTTTATAGGGACAGTATGGGTAAATCCGAAGCCATAGAAGATACAAAGAAACTGTCTTAAGAACCATTAAGACTTTTTTTGTGAAAACAATTTTGGCACGGTCAAAAAAATTAATAATAAAGATTACATTTTTTTTTAAGCGCTGATCGACTCATGTTTATGAAGGGGTTATTTCATTGTATGGGACGAAAAAAATCGGGACAGCAGAAGTTAGTCAAATTCTATAAAATATTTTTTCATACAAAATGAATAAAATTAACTAATTTATCGAGTTCTTAGGTTTTCGCGATTGTTACACATAGGATATGAAACTATTTTTCCGGATTTAAATCGCGTATATTTGTTTTTATTAATTTATTAAATAATTTGTAAAACTAAATGTAGCGTAAATTGGTATGATTTCTTTGGAAAATTAAAAATAAGGTATTTAATTAATAACTATTGTAACTATAGTGAAAAAAATAGGGTGGTTTGCATCAATATTAGACATAACTGGTTGAAGACTGTACCACCTCAGTCAACCGTGACCATGGGACCTGTAAAGGGCACGAAACGTCGGTTTGTTTGAAAAAACCAATATACACGATTTAAATCCGGAAAAATAGTTTCATTTCCTATTTGACTAATTTATTTTTAATGTTAATAGCCTCAGTTTCTTATTTCTTTTAATGGTTCCTAAGAAAATTTCCTTGTATCTTCTATGGTTTCTGATTTCCCCATACTCTCCCATTTTAAAAAAACACTCTGTATAGTCCCACTGCTGGGAACAGCTATCCTTTCACAATGAGCATGCTAGTTCCTTTGCAGATGTTTGCAGTTTTCTCATGATGTTTGACTTCATCGAAAAGCTCATGCCTTAGTCCCACAGGCGGGAAAGGCAGAGACAAAATGAAAAGGTCATGGTAAATTTCTAATTGAATTTCGCACATGAATTCCGATAACTCAGAGGTGCAAGCTCGGCTTCGAACCCACGCCCTGCGGCTACAGAGGCGGTAGGTGAAACCACTAGGCTACCGCGGCTTATATAATGTGCTAGATAACCACAATAATTACCTCGTCATCTAGATATATCTTACACAAGTTAAATGCTCATACATATCGAACCGGTTATTACTAACATCGCGAAGCCTCTAACCAATAACTGCTATTATTAAAAATTATTTTTTCCTGATATAGGTATATATAAATATTTCTTTTTTACATCACATACGTGTGTGTAAATCATCATGATCTCAAGCAGTGACCCGTAAAAGAGATGCATGTGGCAAAATTGAGAAGTCTAGTAGAAATTGAAGCTTACATTAGGCAAAGGCTGTCGGTAGGCGAGTAGCGACAGCAGCAGTGGTCCGGCAGCGCGCCAAGACAGCCAGCGATCGCCCAGTCGCACGATAAGCCGGCCATCGGCAGCAAGTTGTCCGCCGCGCGCGCAGAACTCCTCGAAAGGCAGCGCACGCGACACTACATCCTCGCGCACATACACGCCCACTTGACCCCTGAAAATCATAGATGCATTTTTTAACTTATTCGACATGATAAATCGAATGGAAATAACCTTTTTATTAAAAAAAAAATCCTCAAAAGTGGAATTACATCTCTATGTCAAGTTTTAATGAAATCGTTTACCGGAAAGTGTGCGAAACCGGATTGATCCCCTAAATGGGGCCAATACTGACGTACCTTCTTTCCAACAAAAAAAGAATCATCAAAATCGGTTCACAGATCGGAGTTATTGCATAACGTACATTAAAAAAATACAGTCGAATTGAGAACCTCCTCCTCCTTTTTGAAGTCGGTTAAAAATAAAATTAATTGAGAAGATATCAAATAAGAAGATTTGAAAAGGGTTTAGGAAGAAAGAAATCTTTTGAATACAATAGAGAACAGCCATTGCCAACAGCCAGAGAAATGTTCAGCCATTTGTTACGTAATGACGAATTTGTGAGATTGATAATTTAAGGGAAGATAAAAGGGTAAAGACCAAGAATAAAGTGTAGCGAAGAAATAAAGAAGAAGATCAAAGTGAGCAGTTATAAGGCGATCAAGGAGCTGGCTATGAACTGTAACGAGTAGCGGAGGGTACACCGACAAAAGTCTGGCTCTTAAATAGGATGATGATGATGATGATGACACAATGAGTCAGATTGACTTCTTTGGAAGCACTAATACTTAGCATTCTAACCCACGATTGTACACAAAAGTAGTAAAATTACTGGCCACTTCGTTAGCCAACTAAATGTATGTTTGCTGAATCATAGTATGTGGACTTCGCGCTTTATTGAAGTTCATTGGGAGTTCTTTTTAAAAACAGCTGTAATATAACGATACTTTGGGGAAGACAGGGCGTAAAAGTCACAGCCCACTGTTAGCACAACCACCAAAAAATGTTTACCGTGATTCGTGCAGTCGCAGTTAGTACAAATCCCCGTATGTAGTATTGGTAAAAAGCGCTTTTCTGCACTAAACCAAAATTTCACAGGAGAGGGATTTAACATTATTACTTTGTTATTTCAAAAAACGGATTGAAGTGCCATACAAATTTAATTAAACTACACCAATGTAATTTTTTATATAATTGGCTGTTACGCTTCCCCGAAATACCGATAACGTGCGGTATTATTTGCGTACTTATTGTCTTGGTGGCGCTCTTAGGCGAAATTTGATGGTTGACATTGGTCCTAATTCTATGTATTATCAGATCATATGGAATTTAATTTCAATATATAAGTACAAAAAGACAAAGGCATGTATTCTCTAAATGCAAATTGTTATTCCACACATCTCGAGACAGATGTGCTTGTTACTTTCGAGTTATGAATTAGCGACGCGGCAAAGCGCAACATTCACGCGCTGCTAATTATACGACTTTTTATTTTGTAATTGATGTCGGACTCAACATTAAAAAAAACAAATATAGACAACTAGCATCTAGAAGCGAACAGGTTGAAGAGTTTCTTTAGTTTGTTCCTTTATAGCTTTCTTCCATGTAAAAGATAAAAAATAGGAAAATAAACGAAGCCGTCTGCTGCTCCACATAAGTACAATTAAAAACGCTTCCAATGTGATTGATAATAACACTGACAACTATGCGTGTCGATAATGACTAACCGCGTGAGGAATCGTCCAGTTATTTGATATATGTAGAACCTGAGTTGCAGACACAAAAGGCAACGATCACACGGAACAAAAAGTTATTTGTCACCTAGGACTATTTGAAATAATGTAGGAGCCATTTGAAATAATGTAGGAATGCTTCCTCTTCTAATGCATAAATAAATGGAAGTATAATAAGAAATGCAAAACATGCTATAACATTAATTCCTAAACACAAACTGAAAAGTTCTTGATGAAAAAGACTTTCAAACGAATTAGAATGTTGCTGTCGCTTGTATTATAATTTTTGAACATGGTATATTAATATAACAAAGGGCATATAAAACATAAATCGAACCTACTTGGCCAATAGCTTCTCATCGTCATCGGAGTCAAGTGTGGGTGGTTCGTGTGAGGCCGGGGATTGCGGCAGCGAAGGCCCATTTCCGGATTCATATTCCTCTTCGGTGGGTCCTACTGGTGCATGCGCCGCGCTTACAGGTCCTGCCAATCATACATCCACTTATTAACTCGTTCCCTTGGTATAATAAATCCTCATGTGATCATTCGCCAAACGTGCTTTTATCACATGAAAGCCATAAAAATAATACGACCTATATGAATCAAATTATATATGTGTCAAAACCTATATGAATCAAATTAATTAACCATAAAAAAGTTATCGACTAATTTCGTTCGTAGAATGTTGCACATCTCTTCTCAAAAGTTGTAATTTCACAGATGTAACTTTTTTATAATATCAAGTGACAGGACGAACAAAAGTTGTAATTTCACACATGTGACTTTTTTTATAATATCATGTGCGGGATGAACAAGTGGTGCGCCTGATGCAGTGCCACTCAGAGTTTTAAATCGCAAAGTTGTTGACATAAGTTGACAATTCCCATGTGCCTGTAATTTCACCAGCACCCTTACCCTTCAAAACCGGAACGCAGTAATGCTGACATTACTGCTTGCCGGCAGAAATAAGTAAGGTGGCAATACTACCTTGGACAAACTCTTTCACAAGGAGCTCTACTGCTTCTAAAACTACCTCATTACACCAAAGGCGAAGTAATCAGTTCAAGTTTTAAATCTTTGTGCTGGGATTGAGAAGCAAAAGTGTTACATTTGTTTGAAACTTCATTTTTAATGTAGGCTGTTTTGAATTTATGTCTTAGTTGTATTACAATAAGAGTCGAAGTAGCGGTAGACAAAATGCCTTGTTTTCGATTAACAAGTAACAATTAAGAATATTTATTGTAATGAAAAAGGTGTGGTTTTGCAATAAAGCTAAGTTCAACGACATCGTTCCAAACAATGAATAGTCTGATGTACCTTTATTCTAAAAACAGATGGTCAATAGATCTTTATTTCCGGGTTATGATTAAATATTTGTCGTCGTGCGAGAATAAGGTCACGCGGCAAGTTATCGGTATCGTGCCCACATTGGTGTATTAACCCCTTTATGTGATGTGAATATTTTATAAACACTTGCGTTTATTGTGTTCTTACAATACAATACAATACAAAAATTCTTTATTGTACACCAAAAAAGGAAACAAATACAATACAATTAAATTAAAAATAAGCGGTGGTACAATGGGCGGTCTTATCGCTTTAAGCGATTTCTGCCAGACAACCTTTGGATGGAAGTAATTATATAATTCATAGGAAAAAGACGGTGGTGTATGAAGAATTACTAAATCAACAGATAAAAATTGATAAATAAATACAAATATACATATATTTATAAATAAATAATAAAACCAATACATATATATGAATATCGTAAACTACTATATATTCTCATACTTATAAATATAAAAATTTCTAAAACTTAATTTCAAAACATAAAAATACCTAAGCAGTCCAGGTCACACTAAATTAAGGCAGTGTGTTCTTAGTGCGTCTGCTTCTATATGTAACAAGTTCTTAGTTCGTCTGCTTCTATAACTAACAAGTTTAATGCAAAGGGTAGAAGGGTAAGTGTGGCTTACTTACCGGCGCGATGGTGATGTTTCGGGAAATAGAGATCAGGGTCGACCTGCCCACGATCAAGATCGTCAAGATACACGCCGTCAGTGATGACGTCATTAGCGTCGCGCGCAGACATAAAACGGAACATGCCGCTTAGGACACCACGACGGCCGCCTGGCCGTTCCTCATCGGAGCTTAGTGGCTCTGTGGGTGACGCGGGCTCGGCAGGAGATGCAGGTTCAGCGGGAGAAGTTCCCGAATCCGGGGAATCTAACGGTATAGCGCGGACTGGAGGCTCAGGTAGTTCACCCCAGCGCCATGATTGTGATGCCTTGTCACCGGTCACTGCACGCGCCAGTTCCACTTCTGTATCCGACTGTACTGGCGTCCCGCTCCGTGACCCTCTGTTATTTATAAAATATTTAACGTAAGTATTGCAAAAGTAAATTATATGTTGAGTCGTTATAAATAACTCTATTCCATTGTGTTTCAATGAACATTGAGTCATATCAATATTATTATCGAAATAATTTCCATGTGCGATAGTGTTACAGGAAAGCAGACTTAAGACAAAGGCGAGTTCGTTGTGGTTTTGTGCTCGAGGCTAAGCGTGGAAGTCAGATTGAATAGTAATGCATTTTTGTACGTGCTGTAAAAACACGATTGATACGAACCCTCCTTTTATTTATACGGAAATTCACGGCAAAATTGTTTTTTAATGTTACGGCTATTTTTAATTAAAATCGTTAATTGCGAAAGCCGATACAGGCGTACAGTTAACTAAGTAACTAAAAATGCTTAATGACACTAAGTTCTGTAATAATGAACTATTTTACATAGGGCGTACGAGGAAACTAATATGTGAATACCGTTACAAGTTTTAGAAATTGAATCCCCCGGTGCTCAATTAACAAGCGGCAATCGCTGTACAGTGGGCGTGATTAGGGCGACATGTAAAGCGTCCTAGAATTGGTAGCCATGTGAACAATAATTACTAAAGTTTTTAAATACTGGTGAAGCGAAATGGGTACGATTAATAGGGTTATTATGTTTACGCGTTTCTGGAGGCGGCGTGCACCTCGAACGCTGTGTCGGACAGCGCCAGGGGGATGCGGTTGTCGCCGTTCAGCTTCAGGTTGGACATTTCTTCGCTGCAACGAGGCGATTGACTCACACAACACGGAGTATAGCGTCCGAACGCTTTATTTTCCTCCTAAACCGTCTATTTAATATACTATTACAAAAATATTTTACCATTAATTGCGATGATTTAACGCTCTTCTGTTAAAAATGAGAATAAGATGACTATATTTGTTTTGAATAACTAAAGTTAAAACACATGCTTAGATTAAAAGTAAAGTCAACCTGGCTCACCTTAAGGTCGTAGTGTTAATTTCGGAATCACTAAAGAAATTGATGTCCGTTACGTTCGGAATAGCCGTCGGTAGCGAAGCTCTCTGTTCCGAACCTGCGCGGTCTGATTGACTCGATATAGAACTAGTGGATGACTTTCTTTGATGCTTCTTCTTTGAGCTTACTTTTCTAGTCTTCTTCTTTTTTTTGCCGTTACCATTTGTTTTTAGATCTTCCTGGCTAGCAGGAGCAGCATCTATTGGTCTAAAATCGTTATGTGCGCTTATCTTTTGCACAGTTTGACTAGCTTCGCTTTCATCCTCCCCGAGCTGTGTAGCCGCGAATGTTTTAGGCCTGGTATCAGTTCGCTCCGTAGTATCGTCCAGCCCTTCCATTTCAAACAAAGCATCATTATCATGGTCATTGTTTGTCCCCTTATCTTCTTTTGTTTTCTTTGTCAATTTGCTTAAGTCTGGTTTCTGCATTGTTTGTCCGTCTGCCGTATATCTGGTATCGAAATTAATACACATTAACGGAAACTGAACAGTCAGTCGCAATATATTGCTAGTTTAAAAAAAAAGAATCAGCTACTTCAAATGATTGGTTTACAAAGTCAATTATAATTTACGTAAACGTGATTGTTCATGCAAACAATACACATTTCGCTGTCGGGCGCCACATGCGAATGACGTATATAAGTCCATTATTATTCCATGAAACGGTCTTTCGCTTTCTAGTGTTATTTAAGTATTTTTCCAGAGTGCGGTCTAAACATACAGCAATGTTTACATACAGCAACCTTTTTTGTGACTATGACTTACATGTTTAGTTATAAGTACTGTAGGTGTAAGTTGTACAAAATAAATAAATAAATGTTTAAAAAAATATATAGTACAAATGCTCTTTATAAATGTTCTTTTAACAATTACGCTATATCCGCCGGCTCACCTTCGCTTCGTGTAATCAGAAGCTTGGCCATGATCGGGTTCGACGGCAGAAAGTGAGTTGCGTCTTCGAGGCTCGTACAGATCTTCAAACCGCGCCGCTGGGATAGGTGAAGTGGCCAGATGCGCTGAACACTCTCCTTCATCCTCTCCCACTTCTTCAACGAAAAACGCTTCCCCGGACTCCCCTAGCTTCATATGGATGTTTAGTGGCTCGCCATTTAGTTCCAAATCCACCTACCAAACAAATTTCCTAATTTAGACGTGAAAACATATATCAATAATATGTAGTATGTACATGTGTACTATGAACCTTTCACCTATGTGAGTGAGGAAATCAAAAAACGTGTCTTGTGGTGTTGGATACGATCCAGAATTTCCTACTAACATTGTATTCAGCTATTCAATCGTTTTTTGTTGTATTTTTCTGTACAACTATCTGAACATAAGTCTGTTCCCTTTATAAATACTACACATTAGTATTTGTAATCAGCTTGAGGTTTTGTTGACATCTAGACATGATTAATGTTATTTATCAAGTCAGCCGGTCAAAGTCCATAATGATATGAAGAATATAATGAAAAGTAACCTTTGTCCCTCACAAACAAATACGTAACAGGTGGCCGGATGGTGGCGAATATTTGTGCCAAATTTTTATTCCCACACGGAGTAGGAATGTTATCCCACTTTTGGCGTTATTCCAAATGACTGAGTCAAACGTAGAGACTACGCTCATTTCGGTGTTTGGCAATGCTGAATATAGTTACACTAAAACCTTAATGGGAGATCTTTACTCATAATGACGTTTAGCACTTAAAATAACTCGCATCATCATGTTTATTTAATAAATGTTCGTGTGTGTATGTGACTTCTATAAAAAAATAATTGGTTTTTACTATTCAATCAACAAAATCGCAGTAGTTATTTTAATCGTCTGTTATTTATACATGTGTATTAAATTCAATTGACAAATGATGTACGTAACTTGTGGTTTCGTGTGTTGTCATTGTATACAATACCCGGCACAAAAAATGTGCGTCGCATACCGCAATTTGTCCTAAATTACATGTACAATTTACATGTACAATCCAAGTTATGAGCACTAAGTTCATTAAAATAAAAATATATTAAGAGTATTTCATTTTCATCACTCTTAAAAACATTTAAATGTAAATATTACTACAATAACAAACGTCAATGAAATATTTGTGGCGTAGAATACAGTTGCAATGCTAATTTATTTCTTTATTATTATTCTATGTATATATCTCATTCTTATTTGTTACAAATCAATTTTGTTTTATTATATTAGTTGTATAATAGTGTATATAATAGTTATGTACATCACAGTACTTGTCAATAATAACCTTTTCAGAACCGAAATTTGTAGGAATTATACAATGATAATAATACCTTAACAAAAGAAGTTTGTTATGGTAACACATTTTTTCCGAAATTAAACCTAAACCTTAATACACAACCTTGAATTCAGATGATTTTATTACAATTCTAAGGCTGCTAACAGATTGACTGCATGTTTACAGTTAACGCGTGAAGTCATAATCATTTTTACGCAGCCGAGACCTCGACTGCATGAAGTTGATAACGACTTCACGCACTGCATGCTGTCGATCTCGGCTGTCACGCAGCCGCAACCGAGATCAACGTCGGTTTCGACTGATGAAGTCAATGTGTGAAGTCATTAACCGAGACCTCGACTGCGTGAAGTTGATAACGACTTCACGTATTAACTCGAAACATGCAGCCAATCTGTTGGCAACCTACCTTTGATATCCAAAGTAATTTAAGCTATTCTTAGTAGTTGCGGAAAATACCTAGTTATATTTTCCTGTTGGTTAGTTGTATAAGGTCATGTTAGTAAGGAACCAAAGTAATCTTTTAAGGTATAGGTTTAGTAACCTAAGTTAAACAACTTTAAGCTAATTCAGCAGTTTAGTTATACGTATAATATAAAATGATAAAAAACAAATGTATGGCCCTATAAACACGAATATTTAATATTCATTGTAGTATTAGTACTGACAGGTATATCAAATATAGTAAAACTAAATTAGCTGTGAAAAGGTTGAGATTTAAAGTGATTTGAGAGTGAAAGGGTAGCATATGGTTGAGATTTAATAGTAACAAAAAAATATATCTAAATATTGACTAGGTT